ACTACCCATTCTGGCCTACTCACTACCCACAACTCACTACTCGCTACTCACTACTCACTTCTCACTCCTCACTACTCACTACTCACGATTCACTACTCATTGCCCACGATTGACTACACACTACCAAATATTTACTACTCCCTACTCCCTATTCACTACTCACTACTCACTACAAGCTACTCACTACTCACTACCCACTACTCAGTGCTCATTACTCATTAAACACAACGCATTACCCACAATTCACTAATCACAAATCACTACGCGCTACCCAATAACAACTATCCAGCACTCACGACTCACTACTCACACTTCACTACTCACTACTCACTGCCCACAACTCACTCTCACTATCCACTACTCGCTACTCGCTACTCCCTGCTCCCTACACAGTACTCACAACTCACTACTCACTACTCACTACTCGCTACTTCCTACACCCTACTCGCTATCTAATACGCACTATTCACTACCCGCTACTCCCTACCCACTACGCTCCCACTACCCAGTACTCACTACTTCCTACTCCCTGCTGAGTACTCCCAACTCACTACTCACTACTCACTACCCAGTACCCAATATCCACTATTCACTAAACACTACTCGCTGCCGACTACTCACTACTCACTAAGCAGCGCTACTCCCTACCCACTAACCACTATCCACTATTTACTACCGAGTACTCATACTTCACTACTCGTACTCACTAGTCACCAGTCGCAAGTCTACTCACTACTCACTACTCACTACTCACTACTCACTACTCACTACTCACGACTCACTACTTACTCCTCACTAAGTTCTACTCGCTACTCTCTTCTCACTACCCACTACTCGATATCCACTTCTCGCTTCTCACGATTCACTACTCACTACTCATTACTCCATACACACTACTCACTGCTCACTATTCACTACTCACTACTCGGTACTGCCTACTCACTACGCACTACTCCCTGCTCACTACTAACTACTAACTCCTGACGACGCCATCCTCACCACTCACTACTCACAACGCCCTACTCGCTACTCACTACTCACTAGTCGCTACTCCCTACTCGCTACTACCTACTCGCTACTCGCTACTCGCTACTCGCTACTCACTACCCACTACATACTACTCTCTACACACTGCGCACTACTCACTACTCACTACACTCCTCGCTATTCGCCACTGCCTACTCCCTTATCCCTACGCCCTGCTTACTACTCACTATGCACTACTCACTACACACTACTCTCTCCTCAGTACTCACACTTTCTTACTCATTAATTCCTTCCCACTGCTCACTACCCACTACTCACTACTCACTACTCACTACTCTCTACGCACACTCACTACTACCACTACCCATTACCCACTACTCACTACTCACGACTCACGACTCACCTCGCACTACTCACTTTCATATACCCACTATTCACCAATCGCTACTCAAAACACTCTACTGTCTGCTCACTACCCACTACCCAGTACCAACTACTCACTACTCACTTCTCTCTGGTCCCTAAAACCCTCTCCCTACTCACTACTCACTACTCGCTATCCACTACTCACTACGCAACATTCTTTACTAACTACCCACTACTCATTGCCCAATCCCCGCTTCTCGTAACTCACTACTCCCCACTCCCTGCTCCGCCCTCATGTCTCACTACTCACTCTTCATTACTCACCACTCCCTACTCGCTACTCAATACCTGCTACTCCCTATCCCCTACTCGATGGTCACTACTCATTACCCGCTACTCACTGCTCACTACCGACTACCCACGACCCACAAGCCACTACCCACTACTCACTACCCACAACCCACCACTCACTGCCCAATACTCACTACTCACTACTCAGTATTCACTACTCACTACGCACCACTCACTAATCACGACTCGCTACCCACGACTCACTACGCACTACTCCCTAATCACTACTCACGAATGGCTACTCCCTGCGCACTACCCACTACTCATTACTCACTACTCACTTCTACCGACTCTCTTCTCGCTACTCGCTACCGAGTACCAGTACTCACGACCCACTACCCGCTACTCACCACTCACTCCCCACTGCGCACTACCCACTACCACCCACCCCATATTCAGTACTCACTGTTCACTACACTCTGACATATACTCACCACTCACTTGTCAGTACTTAATACTCACAACTCACTACCCACTACGCTCTACCCACTGCTGATGATACCAGAGAAAACCAATCAGAATTTTTTTAGGGCTGCACGGCTATAGGGCTACAGGGATATATGGGCTCTTGGGCGCTATATGGACTATATGGCTACATGGCTATATGGATTATAGGGCTATAGGGCTATAGGGCTATAGGGCAATAGGGATATAGGGCTATAAGGCTATAGGGCTACAGGGCACCGGGCACCCAGGCACCCAGCACCCGGCACCCGGCACCCGGGCACCAACCCGGGCACCGGGCACCCGTCACCCGGGCACCTGGGCACCCGGGCATCCGGGCACCCCGGCCCGGCCACCGCATCGGCGGCGAACCCGGGCACCCCGGCACCCAGGCACCCGGGCACCCAGGCCCGGCCACCGAATCGGCGGCGAACCCGGGCACCCGGGCACCCAGGCACCCGAACACCCGGGCCCGGCCACCGAATCGGCGGCACACCGCACCTACCCTTAAATCCGCTAGGACCCCTACAGAGGCAAGCTCTGATTGGGGAATTACCCACTTCTCACTAACCTCTACCCTTCTCTCGCTACTCGCAAATATATACTCACCACTTACTAGTCACTACTCACTATCCTCTATTCAGTACCCACTTCTCACTACACCCTCTCCCCAGCCCCCTGTTCGGCGCAAAGGGGTGGAGGGGGAGGGGTTCGAACCCCCTCCCCCCCCTTTCCAGCGCCAAGGGGGTGGGAGGGGGGGGGTCCGGAACCTCCCCCCCCCTACAGTGGAGGGGGGGGGGTTCGGACCCCCCCCCCCCCTTCAGGGGAGTAGGGGGGGGGGGGGGGGGAAATCTCACCCCCGCTTTGAAGGGGGGGAGGGGGAGGGGGGGGGTTCTGCGAGCACCCCCCCCCCTTTGTGTATTCAGGGACATCCACTGGCGCGCTTTTGTAACGAAGGGAGCTGTCGCTGAGAGAAGGTCGTCTGTAGGAGCTGCACTGTGTAAAATCCGCCTCCCGCCCCCTCGCCAGAACCAGGAACTCCCCTCCCCCTCTACGAAAATTCCCGCCCATTCCCCCGGAATCGGGACCCCCCACCCCCTTCGGTGGTAACTCATGGGAGCCTCCCATGCGATCTTGCTGGTTCTTGCGAATTGACGCTAGTGGACACTGGCTCGACGCTAATCGACGCTAAATCGACGCTAATCGAAGCTAATCCAGGCGGATTCGGCGCTATCTCATCGATTACCAGACGCTAATCGACGCTAGTACACTCTGAACACGGAATTCTAAGGTACACAAGGCTCCCATGATTTGCTACCGAACCCCCTTCGAAAATCAGACCCTCCATCTCTCCGTAGTCAGGAGCACCCCGGCCACCTCAGACCCCGGGCGCCGTGACCTGTGCCCGCGGCGCTTTCATGTGAGCATTTGTGGACCTCCGCGGCCCTATCAGAAACATGATTTCGACCGGGGTTCGTTCAGATTTCGACCACCCCTCTTCATCCTTTCGTCCATATTTCGTCCACGTGTCGTCCAGAGTTCGTCCAGAAATCGTCCTGATGTCGACCAAGCACGACGCAATGCGGACGAAATCCGCAAAATATCGTTAGGATTTTGGCAACCCTCTGAGGCTTCCATGAAGGCCCACACAACCGACCCCGTCCTGAGGATACGTTTCGGTCATGTGCCGTTTTTGGCGGTCCCGCATTCCTATGCGAAACTTGAAGCCAGGTTCTCATGTGCAGTATCGGCGCTCACAGGCCCTCAGATTTCAATGCTGATGCCGAAACAAACGAGCGACGATCAAAAACGGGTCTTACGCGAGATGACGTCGCGACCTTACGCGGCGGTTTACGCAGGCCGCCAGCGCGGCACACCACAGTGGAACCGAGGGCGCTTAGGCGCGACCCGACGCGAGCAGCCTACGCGCCAGTGTCGGCGCAGACGACCACGTTCTTCTGCATCGCCCACAATACTACATACTGTGGAGCTCAACCACAAGAAACCTTCTCACGAAAAACCTAACCCTGAGACCCCGGGACGTCGACTGACTTTTGGTATGGGAATTTCACGCATTCCACGGCAGAACCATCGAAATCCAAGAAACCCAGAGCACCCTGGAGGCAAGCAGGGTGTCTTTTGTTATGGGCTTCCCATGTATTTTCTGCCACATGGTGGAGGAGGCGGCCGCCAAGGCCGAAGCGTGCGACGCCGCGCGCGCGCAGCTCGTGAGAAGCGGGCGGCCGCTGGGGAGACCAAGCGAGGGACACTGGGCTGGCGGCGTGCTCGACTGGGAGTTGGGGCGGGGGGGGGTGGGCGGCCCCCCGCGAGGGCACACCATGCTTGAAGAATGGGCACCGCAGCTCCATGCCAGCGTACACAGTGGTTTTGTGCGCTTCCCTGCACTATGCCCTCTTCTTCCTCCTCCCTGCGGTCTCCCTTCCCTCTGCATGCACCTCCTCCTCGCCTCTACGCTTTCCCGCTCTCCCTGCTCTTCCAAAAAGGGCAGCGTACCCCGCAGGAGGGCTGGGAACCGTGGATCCGCGACGCCTAGAGGTCTGAGCGCCGTTGGCGCGCGCGCTGCTCGCACCAAGCGAGGGCCACTGGACAGGCCGCGCGAGCGCCGCTGGACAGGGCCCGAGGGCACACGCTGGCGAGCGAGCGAGGAGATAACGACGACGATGACGAAGCCGCCGCCGACGACGACGACGACGACGACGACAACGACGACGACGACGACGACGACGACGACGACGACGACGACGGCAGCGACGGCAGCGCCGGCAGCGACGACGACGGCGACGGCAACGACGGCAGCGACGACGGCGGCGGCGATGGCGTCCGGGCGGCTCCTTCGCGACGGCAGAGCGCCGGGCTGCTGGGCAGCAGGGAAGCGGCCGCCCTGCGCGTCCTGGCCCTGCGTTCCGGCGGCCTGGGCGGGGGCCCGCGGCTGTGCACCCGAGGCGCCAGCATCACGACGACGCGACGACGACGACGACGACGACGACGACGACGACGAACAGGGCGCCGACGAGGGCGCCGACGACGGCGGAGACGCCGACGACGCCGACGACGACAACGCTCGCGGTTCGATGGCTCTCGGCCGACTGGCCTGCAGGCCCTTCCAGGGTAGCACGGCGGACTCGCTGGCCTTGGAAGGGCCACTCGGCTGTGCTCCCGAGGCGCCGGCCTCGCGCATCGATGGCTTTTTCGGCCGACTGCCCCGAAGGGCCATCCACGGCTGCACGGCCAACTGGCCCGCAGGACCCCTTCCTCGGGCCCGCTACCTGGCCTGCCCCAATCTACTCTCTACAGGTACTCACCACTTACACAGTACGAATACAACGTTCCTCTGGCCCGCCGCCCTCCACGCACTTCTTTTCACACACAAGATTGGTCCGAGTTGTTTTCCACTGCTTTTACAATCCGACCTCTTTTGGTCTTCCCACAATGGCGCTCTCACTGCAACGCTGGCCTCATTTGAGCGGCGTCAGTCCTTCGAATTGGTGTTCCCGCTGCCGCCATCCACCCTTTTGGATCCCTTTGTGTGTCCAAGAGTCACGTGGATCCCATGCATATATATATGTATATATATGTTCCTGAACCCATTTTACCGATGGTCCCATGCTATGACTCGACAGGGACACCATGACGCATGCGCAGGAGTGGAGGATGAAAGTTCCTCTTGCACGAAGGACAACTGATCCCGCTGGGATCCCCTCATATGCGTGCCCCGCACCCAAAACCCCCTCGCCGCTGCCGCCCGTGGGGCCCCTCCCGCCCGAGGCGCGGAGTGGTGCGGAGCGCACGGTGCAGCCGGAGGCCTCGACGCGCCGCGCGAGGACCTCGGGAGCAGCACGGCGGTGGGCCCCAGAGCTGCGACGCACTGCCACCTTCGCCACCCACGGCCCCACCGTTCGCGCGAGGGTCGCGCTGAAGCCTCACGGGGCCCGAGACGCGCGGCCTCCAGGGGCCCAGGCTTTCAAGGTCCAGCCGCCCTGGTCCTCTCAGGGCGCCCGGCGGCCAGGAGCGGCGGCGGCGGCCGAAAGGGCCGCCCGCAGGCCCTGCACGTTTCGATTTCGCCGTGGCCTCCAGGCGCCCTATAGAAAGGCCCGCCCGCAGGCCTTGCACATTCGGATTGGATTGCCCCCTGCGGGGCGGTCAGCACCGACGGCGACGACGACGACGACGACGACGACGACGACGACGACGACGACGACGACGACGGCGACGTTGGCGACGACGGTGGCGTGCGACGACGACGACAACGGCAGCGGCGACAGCGACGACGGCGGTGGCGAAGGCGAAGGCGAAGGCGACGACGCCGACAACGACGACGACGACGACATCCTCCCGAGGGTTCTGGAGGTCTCCCTCTGGAGGCCCTGGAGGCCTCTGGAGGCAAAACAACAAAACGAGATTAGCCTGGCGAGAGACCCAACTACATGCAGCTGCGAGTATGTTGAGGCAGGCGAGACGACAGAGAGGGGGCCACGAAACATGTGAGGGGTGCGCCGACATGTGCGGCGCGGACGCTTGCGAACGTCGCCACCGGGAGCTCCCTATAAGACCACGAAACGTGTGAGGGGTGTGCCGAAAAGTGCTGCGCGGACGGATGCGAATGCAGCCACTGGAGCATTAGGTGGAGCTCCCTGTGGGGCCACGAAACGGGTGAAAGGTGTGCCGAAGTGTGCGGCGCGGAAGCATGCGAACGCAGCCAATGGGGCCTTAGGTGGAGCTCCCTGTGGGGCCACGAAACGTGTGCAACGTGTGCCGAAACGTGCGGCGCGGACGCATGTTTACGCAGCCACTGGGGCCTTGGGTGGAGCTCCCTGTGGGACCGCGAAACGCGTGGCGGCTGTGCGGAGACGTGCGGCATGGACACGTGCGAGCGCAACCACTGAAGCATTAGGTGGAGCTTCCTGTGGGGCTACGAAACGTGTGAGTGCCGCGCCGCCATGCGCGGCGCGGACGCATGCCGACGTCGCCACCGGGGCCTCCTGTGGAGCTCCCTGCAGGGGCCATCGAACGTGTGAAAGGTGTGCCGAATTGTGCGGCGCGGACATATGCTGGCGCAGCCACTGGTGTCTGGTGGAGCTCCCTGTGAAGCGTGTACGGGGTGTGCCGAAAAGTGCGGCGCGGACGGATGCGAACGCAGCCACTGGAGCCTTAGGTGGAGCTCTCTGTGGGGCCACGAAACGGGTGCAGAGTGTGCGAACATGTGCGGCGCGGACGCTTGCGAACGCAGCCAATGGGGCCTTAGGTGGAGCTCCCTGTGGGCCACGAAACGTGTGCAACGTGTGCCGAAACGTGCGGCGCGGACGCATGCGACCACCGCCACTGGGGCCTTGGGTGGAACTCCCTATACGACCACGAAACGTGTGAGGAGTGTGCGGAAATGTACGGTGCGGACGCATGCTAACGCAACCACTGGAGCCTTGGGTGGAGCTCCCTGTGGGGCCACAGAACGTGTGAGGGGTGTGCGGAAGTGTGCGGCGCGGACTCATGCGAACGTCGCCACTGGGGCATTCGGTGGAGCTCCATCTGGGGTCACGAAACATGTGAGGGGTGTGCCAAAATGCGCGGCGAGGGCGCATGCAAACACAGCCACTGGATCTTTCGGTGGAGCCCCCTATGGGGCCACGAAGCGCGTGAGGGGTGTGCCGCAACAGAGACATGCGGGAGGAGAGGGGAGGGGGGAGGGCAGCAAGAGGAAGCAGACGCGGGGCGCTATATCTTCAAAACGAGGAACCAACACAACAGGATGGCTGGGAATAATAATTATACTGGCGGAAGACCGAACCACATAAACCTGCGGGTATCGCGAGGCAAGTGATAAGAAGCAGGGGGGAGGGGAGAGGGGTGCGCCGACATGGGGCGGATGCGCCGTGCAGACCCTGCCGCTGGGGCCTTCGGTGGACCTCCCTGTGGGGCCACGGCACGTGTGAGGGATGTGCCGAATCGGGTGCAGGCACGCGGACCCTGCCGCTGGGGCCTTAGATGGAGCTCCCCTCGGGGCCGCGAAACGTGTAGAGGGGTGCCGAATCGAGTGCGGGTAAGCCATGCAGACCCTCACGCTGGGGCCTTAGGTGGAGCTCCCTTCGGGGCCACGAAACGTGTGAGAGGTGTGCCGAATCGGGTGCGGGCACGCCATGCCGACCCTGCCGCTGGGACCTCAGGTGAGTTTCCCGATGGGGCTACGAAACGTAAGGGGTGTAATGAATCGGGTGCGGGTACGCCATGCGGACCCTGCCGCCGGTGCCTTTGGTGGGGCTCCCTTTGAAGCCACGAAACGTGTGAGTGGTGTGCCGAATCGGGCGCGGGTACGCCATGCGGACGCTGCCGCTGGGGCCTTCGGTGGAGCTCCGCATTAGGCCACAAAACGTGTGAGGGGTGTGGCGAAATTGGTGGCGGGGACGCATGCGAACCGCACCAATGGTGCCTTAGGTGGAGCTTCGTATGGGGCCACGACACGTGTGAGGGATGTGCCGACATGGGTGGCGGAGACGCATGCGAAGAACCACGTCGGCCTCAGCTGGAGCTCCATATAGGGCCACGAAACGTTTGAGGAGTGTGCCGGAATTAGTGGCGGGGACGCATGCGAGCGGCACCACTGGGGCCTTTATAGCTGGAGCTCCGTATGGGGTCGCGACACGTGTGAGGGGTGTGCCGAACTGGTTGGTGGGGACGAAAGCGAACGTCGCCACTGGGGCCGTTGGTGGAGTTCCCTATGGGGTCATGAAGCGTGTGAGGAGTGAGCCGCCAAGAGGGCGGCGCGGACGCATGTGAACAGTAATGCCTCTGAGGCCTCGGGTGGAGCTCCCTATGAGGCCACGAGACGTGCGAGGGGTGCCAAAATGGGCGGCGCGGACACATGCGAACGCTGCCACTGGGACCTTCGGTGGAGCTCTGCATGGAGCCACGAAACGTGAGGGGTGTGCCGACATGGGTGCCGCGGACGAATGCGAAAGCTGCCACTGCGCCCTTCGATTGAGCTCCCTATTGGAACCCGAAACGCATGAGGGGTGTGCCGACATGAGTCGCGCGGACGCATGCGAACGGTGCCACTGGGGCCTTTGGGTGGAGCTCCCTATGGGGGCCCCGAAACGTGTGAAGAAAGTGCCGAAATGCGTGGCGGTAATGGTGATGATGACGGCGATGATGATGATGACAATAATGATGACGGCGATGACATGGTTCCTCTCGGTGATGGGGGTGCCGAAACAGAGACATGCGGACGGCAGAGGCAAGGAGAGGAGGGAGGAAGGGGAGGAGGAGGGAGTGAGTGACGCGGGGTACACTGTTTCTGCGAAGAAACGAGGACCCAATACCACAAGATGGTTTGGGAAAAAACAAAAATACAGCACGAAACAAACCTAAACCGCATCTAGATTCTCGATCCCGACTCACACTTCCGACGAATTCAAATTTGTTTTGACCCCTTCCACGCTTCCACGAGGGCAGCTCATCGTCCCAGGGCGTTGTTTGACTGCCCCTAGGGGCCCGAAAACGACCATCGGACAGCACACTAGTCTAAAAGCCGCCAGAATGCACAAACAACAAACAAACAAACAAACAAACAAACAAACAAACAAACAAACAAACAAACAAACAGACAAACAACGAAACAAACACACAAACAAACAAGCAAGCAAGCAAACAAACGAAACAAAACAAAACAAAACAAAACAAAACAAAACACAACAAAACAAAACAAAACAAAACAAAACAGCAGAACACCAGATGTCCAAGCAGAAGGCCAAAAACCCTGGACCTGCACTGGGGTGCGCTTGTGCCAAAACCCCGTGGCGCACCCAGCCGTGGCGACGCGACAGGGGAGCCTCCCGGAGGCCCCAGAAAACCAGCAGCGCCCACAAAGCTCCATCTTCAATCCTCGAACCAGAGGGGGAAAGTTAGGAAGGAACCTGCTCAGGGGGGGGGGGGAACCACCGAGCTGGAATCGGCGATACATCGCCGATGGATCGGCGATAGGCCCCAGGCAGCAAAACCACATGGTCCCGGGCGCCATCGGGCCCCCATCTACGATCAAAGCGCGATCGGGGCTCGATGTATCCCCCCGTAAGCCTATCCCTCCTAACGTTGCCCCCTGGCTTTCGGGTCATCACTCGGCTCCCCGGCAGCCGTTCGGGACCTGGGCACCCCTGTGGGAACGCTCTCGGCGAGGCGCCGCTGCTGGAGAGCACCCCGAGGCAGGAAAGCGACCGAGCTCCGACGAGAACCCCGGAAAACCTCGGACCTCGAACCCGGGAGTCGCTGGAGGAGGAGGAGGAGGAGGAGGAGGAGGAGGAGGAGGAGGAGGAGGAGGAGAGGACGGAGGGGAGGGGAGGGGGAGGGGGAGGAGGGGAGGGGGAGGAGGAGGAGGAGGGAGGAGGAGGAGGAGGAGGAGGAGGAGGAGGATGAGGAGGAGGAGCCTGAGGAGGAGGAGGAGGAGGAGGACGACGACGACGACGAAGACGAGGAGTCTCCCTCGGCCCTGCAGCGTTTTGGGGCCCGCCCCCCGCGGCGGTGCCCTCGGCAGCGGCCGGCCGCACTGCCGCGCCCGAGTGGGGCCGCCCTGCCGGCTCGCCATGCGCGGGCGGCCAGGGGCGCCGGCGCTCGAGTGTTGTGGGGCGTGGCGCCGCCGCCGCCGCCGTCGCCGTCCGAGGACGCCCGACGAGAGTCGGGGTGAGAGAGGGGAGGAGGGGGAGGAGGAGGAGGAGGAGGAGGAGGAGGAGGAGGAGAGGAGGAGGAGGAGGAGGAGGAGGAGGAGGGAGGAGGAGAGGAGGAGGAGGAGGAGGAGGAGGAGGAGGAGGAGGAGAAGGAGGAGGAGGAGGAGGACTAACGCCACAAGCTTGCCCTTCAGGTCCGATCAACGTCAAAAGGGAGGAGGAGGAGGAGGAGGTGGAGGAGGAAGAGGTGGAGGACGAGCGTAAGACTCGGGTTCTGGGGACTCGGGCTGGCCCGACGGGGCCATCGTGAAAATGACGCGACCCAGTCTGAAATTTGACGCGGGCTCCCGCTGCAGACATCCCGCGAAAAAACTGGACTGTCGAAAGTCAGGACGGGCTCGTCAAAAAGCGTAGGCGAACCCGAGGTCCGGCGTACTCGAGACTTATGCTTCCCTGAGAAAGGGAGGAGGTGCCAGGAGTGCCAGCATCACAGAACGACGTCCGAGTCGCCGAACGGCGCCTGGCAAGGGACCTCAGGTGAGCTCGACATGGACGGAGGACGCAGCCGAGAGGGGGGCGACCCTCGAGGGAGGAGGATCCCCCCCAGGGGCGATCGCCTCGAGGGGGGGGGGGAACCACCCCTTCGAAGGAGGAGGACGGCCTCCTCGATGGGAGGAGGGGGTCCCCGCCCTCCAAGGGCGATGCCCCGCGAGGGAGGAGGAGGGTCTTCGCTCCGCCCTCCCCTCCCTTCCTCCCGGCGGCCGCGGCTGTCACGCCGACCCGCGGCAATTTTTCCCCTCCACGTCGCCCCCACGCACGCTCCCCCCAGACCCCCCTCACGACATGAGAAAATCGCGACGGGATGGCTTTCGCTATTTTCAGCCCCTGGGGGCTCTCGCTGGGCCTCGGGACCGTGAAAAAACGACTCAGGTTAGGTCGGGCGTGTCCCCCTACAGGCGGATTTTGAAGGGAAATGTATATATATATATATATATATATAACACAAAAAAAAAAAAAAAAAAAAAAAAAAAAAAAAAAAAAAAAAAAAAAAAAAAAAAAAAAAAAAAAAAAAAAAAAAAAAAAACGTAGTCAAACAAAATCAAAACCGTTCCTAGACTACTTTCCACTATTTTTGAATGTTCCTCCTGTAGAGAGACACGCCTGACTTCAGACTCAGGATGAAAAACCGGTCCCCGGGAAGGGGTGCAGGCTCCTGGAGGTCACGTCGAAAAAAAAAAACGACATCGGAGGTCGGGGCCACGCGCGCGGGGTGGCGGAAATGAAGCAACAGCAATAGCAGCAGAAGCAGCAGCAAACAAGAAAAACTCTGGGCGTGAGTGGTCTGGTGCGTTTCCTCTTCCGTCTTCCCTCTTGCCCTTCGGGGAGGGGCTTACCCCTATCCCCCTACTCCCTCCCCCTTGGTCCGGATGGGGCGTTTCGCGAGTATTTGGAGCGTCCAAGATGGCCTCGGCGAGGAAGCCAAAATCATGTGTATGACTAGGGTTTGGGCCACATGTTGGCCTCTGGTGGGGGCTGATTAAGGAGCCCCCATCCTTCGATCGATCTCCTCCTAGCTGGCCGCAAGATGGCCCCCGAGGCTCCCAAGGGTGCCCCAAGAGGCCCCAAGAGGTGCCCAGGAGGCCCCAAGAGGCTCCCAAGAGGCCCCCAAGCTGCCCCCGAGAG